TACTTGGACTTAGCGTGCATTGTTTAAGTGTTCCCTTTATTTTTTTTGAGCAATGTACATCCAATAATATACAGCAAGATATCTAATGTTGTAAAAAATATATTCTTTAAACATTTCAGTTTAGATGTAAACAGTGACACATTCACTGGAGTATTGATAATGGTATTATTGGTCCAGAGTACAGTACATAACAATGCTGGTATTGAGGACACCACAATTTTGCATGTTTAGCAAAATCTCCTATGTTAAAAAGAAGCTACAGATCATACATCTGATCATACATAATGTATATTTTTAGTTTCATTGATGTTTATTCAATTTAATTTGTTATTGTAAAAAGACACTTCCTCACACTGTGTAAAAGCAACTGTTCAGTTGGCTTTATGGGGAAAAACATATGTGGCTTATTTTCTAAAAACTCTAAGAGCATTAGCCACCAACAAATGCTGTTATATGATTAAAACTGCCCTTTTCAGCTTTTGCCAAACTTCTCTTGTAGACGAACAGCCACAAAMAGATAAAGAAGGGACAGAGAAGGCTGCATATGGGAAGCAGAAAGAATTGACCATGATGCCCCACCCTCTGGTACTCACTTTTAACTTTAATCCCTACTTCCCCTCACCCACATCCACGCTCTTTTTTAACGGCTATGAAAGAAAAGGGCACCACTCAGAGAGTGTGGAAATGGGACTGGAAAACAACCAGAGGGCACGGGTGAAGATAATCAGCGGTTAAACGAGGCAGCAGAGGAAGTAAATAACTTGGAGGAGAGGCCAAGTAATGGTGGCATACTTAAAATCTGACTTGGTGCATTTTCCATTCTGTGCTCAACAACTTTGGGGAAACTGTATCTAAAGCAGCCGTGTGTATAAAAAACATGAACACACATCCCAACACTTTATCTATTTACATTATGACTTTCTGCCACAGGATTATTGTCACCTGCCTGTGTGTGTTGTGACCAATAATTTTATTTTTAATAGGAACTCTTAGAAAACAGCTATTACATGTCTGTCTACTACTGCTTGAAAGTGCACATCATATTTTGTAAGATTTGACCAAACATATAACTTTATTATTATTCATTATAAGAGGATCACAGTTTAAAACTGCATGCTTTTCATAATGTAGGTCAGTGGTTCCCAACCTTTTTAGACTTGTGTACCCCTGAGTCATTTTTTCATACCACTAGTACCCCCTCTGCCAAAACGTAATGATGATTCTCCAAAACTATAATGAACTACAACTGATTATTAAATGAAAATTATTTATTTAACCCCCTAGAATGCTTACTTCTCAGGCATTTTATTCATTTCAACTCAACTAAACATAAAGATAAATATGTTGCCTTGAAAGTGAATAAGTAATCAAATAAATAAACCAGGTAATAGCAGGTGCAGGAAGCAGCAGCATCCAAAAACTTTGTATTGTCCAAAATRCATCAAATACCCCAAATGAGCAAATTCCATGAGACTCCGCATTTTATAYAGGATTCRATTTTGTGTTAATTCTGTGATTCCGTTAGCGTTTTCCACATTGCGGAAATCAAAGGGCCCTGCATATCTTAGTCCTATTTTTATTTACACACCTGGGAAATTTTTCCACGTACCCCCTGTAATATGTTCATGTACCCCTGGTTGCAATCACTGATGTGGGTAATATGTATGCAAAACACTCAGTTTAAATCAGTAGGTGAACTGCAAGCTTCAAGCACTGAATCAGGTGTGTTGGAGCAGGGACACAAGTA